ATCTTTGCCGCAGGCGAGCAAATCACGAACGGCACCCCCAGCACAACAGCTCCCCCTTAGAGTGCCTTCGAGCCACCTTGTGCCGCACGACATGGACGTTCTTTGGAACGAAAGAGTGCTCTTAGAGTGCCTCGATGTGCGTGGTTCCGCAAGATCACCATACACCTCGAAATTCGTAGTCCGCTTCGCTACACCCCCCAAAGTTCTGAACTACTTGCCCCATACATCTACACAAGACTATCACCGTGTGATACCGTTACTTTACCGATCAGATGACATCTCTTGGTGACATCACTTGGCCTTAGGCCGTGTGTCAAGGACTGAGAGGAAAGCATCTTGAGGCACTTGGACGCGTCCAAAGCTCATCTCTCTAAGACGCTTCTTGCCCTCCCTGCAAATAGCCAGACAGATCGTAAGCATTGGATCTCGCCATGAGCGAAGTGTCTGTGAAGCCTACGCACTTTTGTTTGGTCAGATGTTTGAGCTTGCGCTCGTAGTGCCTGATCAAATCGAGTCGTGTCAGCTCTAGACGGCCCGAAGCGGACCGCTGTTAGGCCAGCCACTCACCCACCATACAGACCAGCTGTCACATCTCGTCTGTACGCCTTGACCGTTTCGCGCGCAATGACCCTAGGAGGAAAGTGAGAAGGGCATGGTAAGGCGAAGACTTGCATCTATCAACAGGAGCAGCGAAGAACGCACTTGGCACCGACGATTGCTTGAATGGCGATCTCAAATTGCTGGCGAGGGATTTTTTCTCTCAATCGTGAAGCCATATCTCTACCTGCTGCTACGGCCTTTGAACGATGAATGACATTTGCCAAAGCATCCACTGGAGTACCATTGATCAGGAAAGAAAGCTGCGTGGCATTAGAGAAGAAGCGCGACCACGTAAGGCGGTACTCTTTCAGCCAAGACCGCTTTACGCATACACTCACCTTCACAAGATCTGAGGCCATATATCCATCAACCTCGTACTCAAACGCGGCGAATCCGCCTGCGCAGCCGTTGAGCAGCTCACACCGTCAGCTGAGTGACGAGAGAGAGGCATGCTGACACTACCTAAGCCGCGTGAGGCAATACTCACTGGAGCGAGACTTGAGCTTGCCAAAAAAGTCTGTGACAATCTCTGCCAAAGGCAGGCGGTAGACCATGCGCACCTCGCGAGAGTCGCCGTACGACGTGTCGTCAAAGACACAGTCAAGCTCTTCGCCCCGGTGCTCGGCGCAAAGCTCCATCATTGGACCCACTGCAGGAGCCTGTCGTGTTCAGCTGTCTGCGAATCGGAAGCGAAT